TTCCTTAATAGCAACCCAGCAATCTTCAGACTACATGGCCCAAGGGTGCATCCGGTCACATGGAAATTGTGCCAGATCATTAGAGCTGAGACTGCCAGCGTGCAAAATCTTGCCTGATCTTAGGTGGCAGATGCCGGAAAACTAGTGTTTGCTTCCTCGGCGTTCGCAAGGGGCTGAATGCTATCTGCTGCTCGAACAAATTGCAGCTGCAGCGCTTGGATGAGGTAGACATAAAGCATTCCATCTCCTACATTACGGAGCGTGCGAGTCTTAGCTTGCCATGGGCGACCGTCCGTTCAAATGTGGCTAGAGCCTCATCCAATTCAGGTGGGTCCATCTTCTGTCCGCGGCCCATTACCTCCTAGTTCCTCCATAACTCTGCCTTGTTTCTGCTTCAAGGTGTGGCGCCGGTGCGCGACGCCACCCAGCATGAGCAGATGCAGGATACGACTCGCTCCGCAGAACATCTTTGATTTCTCGCCTTCACGTGCAGATACAGTGCCAGTACAGAGCCCAGAAACAAAACAGAGCTGCAATCACCGGAAGGTATCCAAGGCTTTTGATGTGCTGCCAGGGTTGGTTTAGGAAAAGGCCTTACTCGTCCGAAGCCTTGGCTTGGGTGAAGTTTGCTTTGAGGGCCAGGATTCACGCTACCAGGGCTCAGATGTCAATCTCGCCTCGCTTGCAGTACTGGGCGGTGGGCACCGGATGCTGCTCGCTTGAAGGAGGACCGTGAGCTCATCAATGAGGGGTCGCAGAATTGCTAGAGGCACTGTTCCTGTGTGGATTGTGGCCTTTTTTGTTGGCTGGGGTACGTCTGCCAAGGAGGTTCTGCCTAATACCCCATCCCTAAGCCGGAAACCCCAAACCCTAAACCCAATGCCCCATCCCTGAGAAAAAACAGCACCCAGAATGTTTAGCCTCATCTTTCTGCCGCAACAACCTCATCAAGGAGCCACTGTGGGATGATTGAATGGGGGTTTCCCCAAATTAGGGGTACCCTTCTCGGGGGTCCCCACAATAAGGACTATAGTGTTTTGGTCTCCATATTGGGGTTCCCCTATTTTGGGAAACTGCCAAATATCCTTGTAGAAGGGAACCACTCCATAAATTTGGGGCCTTTGAAGCATCACCCAGCCATTGACTTTCTGGTGCTTAAGGGGGGAGCGGGGGAGTGGAAATAGGGACTATTACAGGGGTAATGAATAGGGATTATGTAGGGATTATTATGCGGTCTGAGCTTTAAACCCCAGACCCGTAAACCCTAAGTCCCAAGCCCCAGCCCCAAACTTTGAACCCTTAGCCCCAACACTAAACCTTAAACCCCAAGCCTAAACCCCAAACCTCAACCCAAACCCTAAACCCTGAGCCCCAACCGTGAATCAGGAGACTTCTGGTGCGGAGATGCGAAAGATAACAAGGTCCCTGGCTCCCTTGACTGGGCGCGGATGAGCAGTTTTTTTTTCAGGTGTTGTTCGGCTGGGTGGGAGGGTGGGGGGGTGGGGGTGGGGGGTGGGGATAAGAGTCATTCATATTGCGTCCATGCCCAAAACACTGCGCAAAGGATGTGGAACAAGACACTTTTGCGTCTTTGTACAACATATTGCGCAAGGATGTGGAACAAGGAAAGCTGTCACAAGCGTCCATGCCTTTGGCGACCATGCCCAAACACAGGTATTGACAGCGTTTTGTTTCTCTACGTCTTGCGGGTTGAGGACTCCGGGTAAACACACTCAATCTCAGAAACCGAAACACAATGTAACAAAGAGTGCAATCCTGTCCTGACAGAAATAGTTTCTTGGAAGCCCAACTACCCTGTTTTTCCTCCAAATCGCGCTCAAACCTAGGTTTCGTGCTACTTTTCCTTATAGAAAGCAACAGGGCGACCTATGCGTCCGCACCCAAATAGTTACCACTACTGTAGCATGTTATTTTCCTATGTTCCTTGTTCATGGCATGGTCCTATATTCTTGTTTGAGTGTAATAAGGTGTCGCAGATTGATCTCGAAATAGTATTGGTAATCATTTGCGCCCCTACCGTACGTAGCTAGGTGCATCTGAGTCCAAGCTTCCCGAAAGGCTATAGTCCCCCTTAATTAGATAGAATATGGCTCTTTGGGTATAT